GCTGCCTTCTCCTGCTTCGCAGGCGGCGCCACTGGTGCAAGGTCCTCTGGCGGCGGGCCCTCGTCAGCATTGCTGTTATCGTCACCGCCAGCGCCCGCGTCGCCAGGCTCGTCGATCTCCTTCTGCGTCGCAGTCTCCGCCCAGCGCCTGGTGAACTTCTCCACGTACTGCGCCTCGAACCACATGAACTTGACGGAGTCGTTCTGGTCGTCGATGCGGACGAACGGGCACCCCGTCGCGATGCACCTCTCGGCCGTCAACTGGCAGTTCTTAATCGTCTCCTCGTCGTACTGGCCGCGAGGCCCCCCCTCCTCGTAGCACATCCTCATGAACGAGACGACCTTGCCCTTGCGAGTCCATGAGTCATCACTCTGGGTCGTTGTCGTCCTGAGCCGCTTGACGGCGCCATCGTACTGCGTCTTGACCCATTTCGCCTTCCATGCCACCACGTCATTGGTCTCGTTGTACTCCGCCTTGAGCTTCTTGTTGGTCGCGAGCTCCCGCTGCAGCCGCTGCCCCAGTGCCGACTTCATGCTGAATTTGCAGTTCGCCTCCTCGTAGCACTTCTTGGCCTGGAGGTCGCCCGTCAAGTACTTCTTCTGCATCGGCGTGAGCTCCGCAGGGACGCCGCTCGCGCCGCTCGTCGCGTCGTGCCCAGGTTGGAACTTCGCCTTGTTGGTATTGCAGAGCCCCTGCACGCGACCTATGAGCTCCTCCTGGATCTGCGAGGCCGCGTTCTTCACGGGCGTATCGGCTGTCCTGCAAGGCCGTGGGCCGTGCTCCGCCCTCCTCCATGTCTCCCCCTCATCCTCCCCCCTCTTTCCCCCCCTCCTCCCTTGCCCAAATCCCCTCATCGTCTTCGTCGCCCTCTCTTATTATCCTCCACCTCCTCCTCATCCTTCCCCGCGTCATCCTCCGCCACCTCCTCCTCTCACCTCCCAGTCTCCATTTGCCCGCCAGACTCCCCCCCCCTTCGCGGCCCTCGCGGCGCCGATCTGCAGCGCTGGCGTTCGCGGAGTACTGCTGGGAGCTGCCGATGGAGCCGCAGACCTCATTGATGGAGCCACCGAGGGAGCTGCCGATGGAGCCGCCGAGGGCGCCGCCGAGGTAGCCGACGTCAGCCGCGTCGATCGCTTCAGCGCTGCATAGCCTTTCATCAGCATGCCCACCTTCTCCCCCACGGGCATCGGCTCCTCGGCGGCGGCGGCGCTGAAGGACCTCGGCGGCTGCGAAGATGCCCTGCTCGGCCTGACGGGCCGATAGGCTTGCGTCTGGATCTCATCCTCAGCTGGCCAGCGCATCTCAGCCCCCTCAGCCTCCTCAGCCTCCTCAGGTGGCTTCGGCTTCTGGGCCCCCGCCTTCGCCCTCTTCTTGCGCTTCTTGGGCCTCATCGTCTCCTCAGCCGCAGCCGCCAGCGGCGCCGAGTCCTCCGACTTCGCCTTCCCCGAGACGGCCGCCCCGACCTCGAGCCCGACCCCCGTCTGGACGCCTGCCCCCGCGCGCGGGGGTAGGCGGACAGACGGCGCGGTCGGGCTTGGGATCGCGACTCCCGCATCTGGCCTTATTCCTATTCTTCTTGCGGCTGCGCTTCTCGATGACCGGCGCCGTGTGCTTGGACAGCGGCGCGTCGTCAGTGTCCTCGCCATCCTGCTCGGCGGCCTCGGGCTCCTCCTCGGCCGCGCCCTCGGCGCACGGCTCGGCGGCCTGGGGCCCCATCTCGGCGAGCTCCGCCTGCTCGCGGGCTGCCCTCTCCATGATTTCTGCGAACTCGTCCAGGCGGTCGGGCGGAGGCCTGCACTGGCTCGGCGGCGCGGGCTCGCGCTGTCGTGGACCGTCGCGGGCGGGGCCGCCGCCGATGAGCTCTCCGTGCCCGTCGCTAGCCGATGGCCCGTCGCCCGCGGCGAGGTGGGCCGCGCTGCGTGGGCCGCCGTGCGCGGGGCTATCCACCTGCGTCGTCGAGCCCGAGTCCGTGTCTGAGGACTCGAGCATCGTGTCAGTGCGCGCCTGGCGCAGGCTCCCCCTGCGCGCCGCCGCGAGCGGTGCGTCGACGAGGCTCTCTTCCACCAGCACCACATCGCTCTCCTTGTTGCCTGCGCGCCCGCGCGGGGGGAAGCGGCGATCCCCTCCTCTGCCTCGTCATCCGCCTCCTCCACCTCCTCTTCCTCCTCCACCCTCCTCCTTGTGCGCCCCCCTCCCTCCTCCTCGTCATCATCTTCGCCTTCCCTCCCCCTTCTCCGCCTACCCACTCTCTGCCGCCCCTCTCCTCCTCCCCGTCCCAATCCTCGTCCTCTTCCACTTCCGCCTCCTCCTCCCGTTGTTTTTTTTTGCCTTTATTTTTTTGGCCTCCTCCGATCCTTCTGCTTCCCTCCCCCCCCCCCCCCCCCCCCCGCCCCCCCCCCCCCCCCCCCCCTCCCCCCCCCACCCCCCCCCCCTCCCCCCTTCTTTTTTTTCCAGTTGTTTTGTCGTCCCCTTGCCCCTCCCCCCCCCCGTATGTAGTCGCCGCCCCTCGTCGTTCGCTGCATCGACTGCCCCATCGGATTGCGCGGTCCCACAGCGGGCTTGGGGCGCGGACTTGGGCGCTCCATCGATGCCCAGGAGAGGCCGCAGGAAGCGCCCAGAGGCCCCAAGAAAACCCCCCCCAGGGAAAAAATTAGGGGCCCCTTTTTTTTTTCCCCCCCCCCACCCAAGAGGCCCACATGAAGCCCGAAGAAGCCTACAACATACATCGAAACTGCCTTCCCGAAGCTTCCGAGAGACCAACCACGAGATCCCGACGCAAACATTGGGCCTCAGACCGACAGCCCAGGCGCGGTGGCGGGATGGGCCGAAGGCCAGTAGGATAATCATAGTCCAACTACTCCTGATCACCCTGCCCCCACCCATGCAAAGCGAAGGAAACGAAGGCAGAAAGGTGGAGGAGGACGACGAGAATACAACTGAGGGGCAGGACGAGGGAGGGAGATGGAGAGCAGGAGTTGGCTACCAGACTGCCCCTGCCCCTGCCCCGCGGCGCTGCGCGCCTGGCATCGGCGACGCTGCCTCGGCAAGGGCCGCCGCGTCGGCGTCGCCGCCTCGGCGGGTGGCAACGGCCGCGCGCGCCCAAGCTCTCCCAAGCCCCCTGCCCCAACCATCCTCATCCTAACGCGCCTCCTCGATCACCCTCCTCCTCCTCCTCCGCCCTCTCCGTCTCCTGGTCGACATCACTCCCCCTGCCTGCCCAGCAACGATGCATCGCCGATGCGTCAGCGATGCGTCAGCGATGCATCATCGATGACATCCCCAGTCGTGCTTCCCTCATCCACCCACTCCTCATTGCCCCTCGCCGCCCCTGTACTCTCCGACTTATGCCCCGACGCTCCCATCTCTACCCGTTGCCCTCGACGACCCACCACCACCACCCGACAATCCGAGGCATGTGCTACGACCTGCCTGATCTACCTCATCAGGCGCCTGGCGCCCCCCGACCCACTGACGACGCCGATGGGAGTGCGATGAGGACGAGGGCGGGGGTCGCGATCATGAGGGCGGGGGGCGCGAGTGGCGATGGGGGCGGGGGCGGAACGAGGGCGACGATGGGGGGCTGACGGGATCAAGGTGGCGAGTGAGGAGGTCCAGGAGGAATAGGGGGATAGCCCAGAATACGTGGAGAGAGGCGGGAGGTGACTGCGCTGGCGCGCGCAGACGGGGGCATCGCGGCTGGCGCGCAGCCGCCCGCGACTCTACGGTGCTGCCAGCCGCTCTCTATACAAAAGCCCAGGGCGGACGCTGAAGTGGGGGTGAGAGAGAGAGAGAGAGAGAGAGAGAGAGAGAGAGAGAGAGAGAGAGAGAGAGAGAGATGAGATAGATGAGAAGAGATAGGGTAGATGAGATGGATGAGGTTAGTGAGAGATGTGAGAGTGAGAGAGTCATGGGATAGGTGAGAGGCGAGAGGAAAGACATGGGAGTGAGAGAAAGAGAGAGAGAGAGAGAGAGAGAGAGAGAGAGAGAGAGAGAGAGAGAGAGAGAGAGAGAGAGAGAGAGAAAAACAAAAAAAAAAAGAAGAGAGAGAGAGAGAGAGAGAGAGGGAGAGAGAAATAGAGAGAGAGAGAGAGAGAGAGAGAGAGAGAGAGAGAGAGAGAGAGAGAGAGAGAGAGAGAGAAGAGAAAGGCATAGCGCGAGAGAGAGAGGTATAGCGAGAGAGAGAGAGAGAGAGAGAGAGAAAGAGCGAGGGGCGAGGCAGAGACAGAAGAGGGGGAGAGATAGAGATAACGAGAGAGAGAGAGAGAGGAGAGAGAGAGAGAGAGAGAGAGAGAGAGAGAGAGAGAGAGAGAGAGAGAGAGAAAGAGAGAGAGAGGAAAAGAGAGAGAGAGAGAGAGTGCGTGTGTGTGTGTGTCGAGGGAACAATAAGAACGAGATAGAGAGAAACTGCAGACGCGCCCGCTAAACCGCTCGAGCACTCTGGCAGGCGCGCCAGACAGTAAACGCGCTCACCGGAGGCGCCGGGAGCTGCGGCGAGGACGCCCTGCGCCTCGCTGCGCCCTCAGCCTCAGCGCTCGTTGCAGCAGCTGCGCCCTCATCCGTGGCCTCTGCGTCCGTTGCAGCAGCTGCAGCCTTGCCCGCGACCTCGTCCGTGGCCTCCGCGTCCGTTGCAGCAGCTGGCCTCTTAGCTGCAACCTTCGCCGCTGCGGGCTTCTTCCAGGCGGCCTTGGCCTCGGCCTCCTCGTCCTCCTCTTTCCCCGAGGCCTCGGGTTTAGCCTCCTTGGCCTTGGAATCAGTCTCCTCGGCATCAGCCCCATCTGCTTCGCCCACCTCCTCCTCTTCGCCCTCGTCCTCAGACGCTCGCGGATCCTCCTCCTCGTCCGAGTCCTCGTCCTCGCCTGGGCCCTCGTCCTCTCCTGCGGCTGCCTCTGGATGTTCCTCGTTGTCCTCCTCTGCAGGGCCAGTCGCCGATGGGCGCGCCTTCTTGCCCTTGGCGCCGCTGTCGGCAGCTGCAGGCCGCTTCTTGGTCGCCCCTGGCTTCCCCGCGCCGAACGACCTCTCCAGCTTCTCCTTCTTCGGCTTGAGGTCCCTGTCGGGGTCGAACCTGCCTGAGACCACGCCCTTGGCCCAGGCGACTGCGCGAGCGCAAGCGTCGCTCTCTGGCACGTAGTTGAAGCTGATCTGCACCTTCTGCGAGCCGCCGAACTTCACGATCACCCCAGGGTTGTTTTTGTCCAGCTGCTTCTTCTCCGCCGTGACCTTCGCGCCGCCGTCGGTCGAACCGCTCCGGAGATTGAGGGCATTCTTCCCGTCTGAAGCTGTCTCCTGTCGGCCCTTCCACGCACTGACTGTCAAGTCCGTGACTTCTACCTCGTAGCCGTCGGGCCACTTCGCCATCATGAAGTGGTGCCCCTTGGCGCGCGGCCTGCTGAAGATGTCCTTCGTCGGCTCGGGCTTGCCGCTCTTGGTCTCCCGAAAGACCGCGGCCGTCGCGGGGTCGTAGGTCACCTTGTGCTCGACCGCCGCCAGACTCGCATCGCTGCGCAGCGGGCTCAGGCGAGGCGTTGCCCGTGGAGCTGCCGCCGCTGGCGCCGCGCCCTGCTTCTGGCGCAGCAGGCCGAGCCACTGCGGCACCTTGCCCTCGTTGCGCTCTCGCCGAATCGGGTCGTAGAGGTGGCGCAGCATGCTGCGAAGCCTGGGGGCGCGGCGGGAAAGGGGGGGGGCGCGGGGGAGGGGGGGGGGGGGGGGCGACGATAGACGGAGGATCGGGGATGAGGCGAGCAAGGCGCGAGGAGCGAGGATGAGGATAGGGAGTGAGGGGTGAGGAGTACGGAGCGAGGAATCAGGAGTGAAGAGTAAGGCTGCGGATGGAGTGCGGCCGAGAGGGATTAGACGAGGTCGAGGAGGATGGTAACTCTCCTCCTCCTTCCTCCTCCTTCCTGTGTCACCTGCTCCCATATGTCACCCTCCTCCCTCCTCCGCCTGCCTTTTCCTCCTGCTCCCCCCTGTTATTCCTCCTGCTCCTGCTCCTGTGGGTTCGCAAACCCAGAACATGAGGCTCTGGGACTCGGCCCAGTCGTCGATGGCCGCGGCGTCCAGCGACTTGATCGTTGGAATCTCCTTCGCGAGCTGCTCGAACGCCCGCTTGCAGGCCGACTCGTTCAGGCTCAGATTCGGCGAGACTGCCTCCAGAGCGGCAATCGCCTGGAGTACGACTGGTCCGTCGGCGACGACGTCGCCGACGATGTCGACGACGTCGTCGACGACGACGTCGTCGACCGCCAACGACGACGACGTCGACGTCTGTCGCCGTCGACGTCGACGACGCCGCCGACGATGTCGCCGACGTCGTCGTCGTCGACGTCGTCGACCACCGGTCGTGACGAGGGTCATCTTCGAGAGCGACGCCGACGTCGTCGACGACGTCGACATCATCGTCGACGTCGGCGTCGGAAGTCGACGACGTCGCCAACGATGTCGCCGTCGACGGCGACAGACGTCGTCGCCGTCGACGGCGACAGACGAGGGGCGACGACGGCCGACGACGACGACTTGCGGCGACGACGACGGTGCCTTCGCGTGGCGGTGGATCTCCTCCACGCAGTTCTCGTTGCACTTATCCTTCCCTGGTTTGCGCCCGTGCGTGAGCCACTCTGCGGCGACGTATGGCCTTAATGCATGCGCGATGCCGTTGGCGTCGCCGCAGCGATCGCGCGTCCCGGCCATCGCGCGCGAGCGCGCGATGGCCCTGCGCCAGGAATGGCGCCAGCCAAAATGGCTATGCACGATGAGGCGAGGAAGGGGTGAGGAGCGAGGACGAGGAGTGGGGGGAGCGAGGGATAAGGAGTAAGTAGTGAGGTGAGCAGATGAGGATGGAGCAAGGCTGAGTGGGGAGGACATGATACCTGTGGACGGTGGGAGAGCATGGTGAGGGAGAGAGTGGCATGAGGGACACTCGAGAGGGGCCGAAGATTCAGGTCGCGGATCGCTCGCCCCCTCGTCGAGATGGCTGGGCCCGCCTGAGAATCTTCGGCGCCGTCGATGCGTCATCGATGCCAGCGTCGATGACGCATCGATGACGCATCAGATGTTTTTTCCCCGAAATCCTGGGCAGAACGCGCCCAATGCAGGG